CTAAATTATAATGTCACAAAAATCAGTAGTATGTTGTAAATGTGTAAGTTACTACTTAGATTTATATTATCTTAATGTCTTTCATATGAACATTGAAAACATGTTACACTGTAGAATCATTTGGTTTTAGTTACCAAATTAAGTATTGATTTACCTAAAAAGTTATTTTACAGTACATTAATACAACTAAAGTGTCATGCTTCAGTTAACAAAAACACAACACCGAACACAATAAATAATGTGAAAGTGTTTCAATACAAAGGATCAAGAGGCAAATAAGTAAAAGCATATACAATATCAGTGATATTGTAACATTGTATCATTAATATTGTATATGTTTATTTTTTTACCTCTTGATACTTTTTATTGTAACGTTTTCACATTATGGTGTCCAGCGTTGTGCTTTTGTTAACTGAAGCGCGGCACTTCGATTGTATTAATTTTAGGTGCATTCTTACTTCTGGATTCACTTATTGCTGCAGCTATATGGTTATTTTATATCTTATTAGCACACAAAATATTTGGGTATTGATTGTATCTTACAGTAGGTTTTCTTTGTCCCTGCCATAATTCATTTTAATAATGCCATAAATTATATCTGTTGTATTATAAACTAGATTCTGCAATAACCCCCAACATTGGTGTCTAAGATTGGGTTTGTAATTTTGTACAGAAGGAATAAAATCAGTACCATTTTTTAATTCTTGTCTGTGTCCACTCTCCACTTGTCTGTGTTCACAAGATTCACCCTCTCTAATAGTGACAAAGTGTGGTAAGGTGAAATCTATTAACCAGGTCAACTGTTCAGATCACAACTGTCTAAAGCTGGCCATACATATATAGAGTATCTGCAGATTTTCTATGGTCAGATGGAAAAAGTGCAACAGAGTCCTCCATTTTTGCTAAAGTGTGTTGATGGCGGAATCCCATCGGCCCCGCTGGCTCTCAAAATACCTGAACAATGCCTGCATCCAAACAAATTGTACAGGTATTTTAAGAGCCATCGGGGCCGACTAGCAAGAGACTGAAGCTTGGCCCAGTGGGAGATTCGTCCATCCACACAGTTTAGCATAGATGAAGGAATCTGCTGCACATATAATTTTTATAAAATATTTTTTTTAAGTTTTTTTATTATATAAAAACATTTGTAAATGTAATACATATGATTTTTTTCTATGATGTGGAAAACAAAGACAAGATGGAAGTATGCACAGTATTATTTAATTAATATTATTACACTCATTACACTTATTATACACAGTTTTTTCCTGTGTATAAAATCTTTTTTTACACAAAAAATTGTGGCTGATGATGTGCTAAGAGGAGCTCATCTATCTAAACTGAAAAAAGACAGGTGATCACATTAGTGACAAAAACAGGCACACAGCAATATTGTCCTTTAGAACATTATGGTGATTAAACAGGTATAATTGGTAGCTTTGGATGTATCAAAGTTATACAGCCAATGTTCAAATGAAGAGAGAGACCTCCACCGCTCCTTCCACAACACCGTTCCACTGCTTGTGTTTCTTGCAAGTACTGGCCAGAGAGCTGTCCATACTCCACAGCAAATGTAATCCAAAGAAACAGCCGCAAACTGCCAATCTTCACCAGCACTTTATTTGTACAATCCAGTAGCGCCAAGCTTATAATACCCACCTGCTGGTAGCTCACCCTATCAGGCTTAAGCTGGCCATACACCTTACAACCATCGCACGACTTTCGTTGTGCGATGGTTGTAAGGTCATTAAAATTTCGCACGATCTGCCCATCTTGGACAGGCAGTTTGTACTTGCGATCATCGCAAGCCCGCCCCGCTGAGGGGAGGGCTTCTGATGATTGCAGTGCTGAGCGGGCAGTGTGCACTTGTTCACACCGGCCCGTGCGGCATTCGTCTCCCGAGCACGCCACTAACCCTATGGGCTATTTGAGCTAGAATCGAATGAGAGTTCTTGGCAGCAACAACAATTTCTGAACGAAAATCAATAGGTGTATGGCCAGCCTTAGTATTGCTAATGAACGATTATTGAAATCGACATTTGGACCCAGATATGCTGGATAAAATCCTCCGAGGCTATAATACAATAAGATCTGTAGCTACGAATGAAACATGGAGGGAGACCCAATTCAAGATCATTCACAGGGCCTATGTCCCGTTCTTTCGGTCCCCGGACACCGGGGTAGGGACCCCTCCGGTGCGATCAATGACCTCCACTTGTCCGAAATGCGGACGCCTCAGATCCACATTACACCATTGCTTGTGGAAATCAACATTTTTCTGTGCTTTATGGGCTATTTGAGCTAGGATTGAATAAGGGTTCTTGGCCGCAATTAACATTTCCAATCGAAAATCTATAGGTGTATGGCCAACCTTATATTACCTCTGCTCCACAGTGGTGAAGCTAGAAATACCGTCACCCGGGGCAAAGACTTGCTCTCCCCCCTGCTAGGAGAAGTTGTCCTATGGGGGCGTGGTTCATCAGATGTTTACAACCAGTATGTGTATATTGCAGAGTGTCTAGAACAGACATATGTGCACATTTCTGGTTTGCTTAAAACCTTTATTGGTAACCTAACATTGTAACCAATAAAAGCAGTAAACAAACCACTAAATTGTACATTTTATATACCAAAAAATACAACGCTAAAATAGGAATGACATATGGTATGTAGATCAAAACTACATTAATTAGTAATAGCAGTTTTTACAAATGTCATAGTCCCAAAAGTCAGACGTGGTGTGATGTAAATGAAAAAATATATAACTCCCTTCTTCAAAATCTTTTAAATACCGACACACAACCCATAAAGACCTCCAAATTATAGGAAGGTGTTAGAATGCTAATGTGTATATAATTCCCACAGTGAACATATGCTGGAGGTTATGGCTCTCATCCCCTAATTTGTGTCTTCCCTGAAACAATCAGGCAGATATTACCCTAAATACTCTAGGTACACTACAAATAATTACTATGTAAAAGTTGCAAAACAGCAGTTCTGGAGGTCCCCTCATGCAGGAATAGTGTAATGCCAGAGATGCAGCATGATGATTTAGGCTAGTCCCTCCCTATATATTGTCATTCTGATTTCTTTAGGAGCATGGGTACTAACACACTCATAACACATATGCTAACCAAAATGAACCCTTGTAAGTTTCTATGTACAGGTGAAACTCGAATAATTAGAATATCGTGCAAAAGTAATGGCAGTAATTGCTGCAAAAGGGGCCCAAACCAAGTACTGAGTACATATGCATGCTTGTACTTTTCAGAGGTCCGATATTGTTCTATGTACAATCCTTGTTTTATTGATTGCATGTAATATTCTCATTTTCTGAGATTGTGGATTTGGGGTTCTTGGGGTTTTCATGAGCTGTAAGCCATAATCATCACAATTATGACAAATCACGGCTTGAGCTATCTTGCTTTGCATGTAATGAGTCTATCTCATATATTAGTTTCACCTTTTAAGTTGCATTAGTGAAATAAATGAACTTTGCACGATATTCTAATTATTCGAGTTTCACCTGTACTATTAACAAGCAATATGCATTTCAAACATATATATTTAGTGGCCACATTACATATGGCCAGTGCAAATCCACGTTTGGGGCCATAAACCTAATGCTGACAAGTCATAACATAGATTATCCTAGATTAAATAAATATCACACATATGCCATATTTCATCCTACAATTACATATACAGAAAAGAATAAATAGGTAATTACCATAAAATAAATTAAGAATATTATACACTGAGTGGCCACGAGATGACTGCACGAGATGACTTAGTCGGGCCGCCTCGTGACTCCACGGGATGTTGAAAGGTGATGCGAGGAATCTGACACTGCACTGTTGCCCTTCTGTTGTCTTGTACCAGTCTTGCCACTCTCCGTTCTGTCCTAACATTGACTAGTCGCTGACGGCCACAATTCGCACGTTCAGACCCAGATTTTCGGCTGACAGTCCAGTCTTTAAACACTTTAACAACAGCTGCTCTTGAACATTTAACGAATTCTGCTGTTTTGCTGATACTCACTCCATGGCTCCGAGCGCCAACAATCATCCCACGTTCAAAGGCTGTTAAATCGTGAACAAATCACTTCTACTGTCGTGGTAAACAATCTGCTTTCCTATTTATAATGGTATGGCCCTCTAGCAACTTCAGCGCAAAATTATAGCTAATTATAGCTATAACTAATTAATATAGCTATAACTAACTAACTATAGCTAATTTGCCTACAAACGTCAGGTGGTCATAATAATCTGGCCACTCAGTGTATATAACAATAAATACATAATAAAATTGGGAAATTACCTTTCATTACTGTTAGATTTAAACTTATATGGCCTCCTCCCCTGGTTAGAATTATTTCTATATTTCTACATATCTGACCTCTTTCACAGAAAAAGAAAAACTATCCAAGAATGTAGATGTCTTTCTTGAGGGTCTATAATATTAGGAGCCAAAAAGTTGCGCAAGTTATTAGCCTTTCTAAAGTGGCATTTAGGCTGTTCTGGTAAAACCTTTCCCTACAATGTATCTTTACATACTATTTCTCGAATATCTCTATCAATATCATCTTTAGCATACCCTTTCTCTAATAACTGGCCTTTTAAAATACCTGCCTGTTCATAAAAATTAGCGAGTGAGCTACAATTATGTCTCATTCTTTAGTCTAATAATCTCATTCAATTATTAGACTCTTGAAACATTTTTTATTCAGTTAGGATGGTAGTCTCTATACCTAGGGATAAAATTATTTTGATCTGTGTACTTAAAGTATGTGTGGGTACAAAATTTCTAATCTGCCACATAAATGCCCCCAAAATTATTCTCTCCTGTGTCTAACCTTGGGAAAACACAAGTCAAAACGTGTTAGATAGAAATATAACATGCAAATATAGTAATATTATTAATGAAAAACATAACCAGTTATGCAAAGGTTCAAAAAAGTTTAATGAGTGTTACTCCTGTATTTGTGTACTTGTTTTCAGAACTCTGACCGATCTCTTGAAGCAACCAGCTCAGATTGACTTCTTAAGTGATGGGCATCGAGGCAGTGTACAGGTCCAAATCACGGAGATTATACCAAGAATATCACCACGGAACAGTATAGGTGAGATACCAGATACCATCTTTACTTTTGAGCTGCCTAGGTGTACTCAACTTTTCTGTATGCATAAATGTGCTAGGGCATTTACCTTGTAGTTTAGATTTCTCCTGCTCATTTAAATAAATAAATATGAGCAAATTAGTACACTTGTTTACAACTTTCGGTTTATTTAGTTCTGTGATTTCTGTACACATTTATCTTGTAATCTAAGGATTTTGTGATTCTCCCTGTAGATTAGTCTCTTTGATGTAGTACTTTGGAAACATTGTTGAAAATCTTATTGTAAGAGAGATATGATTTAAAAAAACAAAAATTAATAATCCAAAAAAATAACACATTATTATTTCTTACCCTTAAGTGTTAGAATTAGTATCATGTTACTTTTTAATGTCAATTTCTATTTCTGCTAACTGCAAATAATATTCCAAGGTTAATGAAACAAAGTCAGGAGTGGCCTCTGGCCATAGTGTGATATTATTTATGCTTGGGGTCAGGGCCTGACTGGCTATCGGGCTTAACGGGCACTTTCCAGGTGGGCTGGGTCAAACACAATCACAATCAAGCAGGGCCAGCGCTATCAGGCAGCTGCTATCATCAGACAGCAAAGGCTGATGCCTTAGGGCAGGGGAAATGCAAGCCTTCTGGGGAGCAACTGTGGCGTCTGTTTACAGCGTAGACCCACACATCAATCCTGCTGCAATCTGCCACATCACTCCTGCTGTGATCTGCCACATCACCCCTGCTGTGGTCTTCCACATCTGGCCCTGCTTTGATCTGCCCTGCTGCGAGATCTGCCACATCTGTCATGCTGCAATCTGCCACATCTGTCATGCTGCAATCTGCCACATCTACCCCGCTGCGATCCTCCATATTTTCCCTGCTAAGACCCCTGCATTGTTGTATAATGTATTGCTGGGATTTATAGTCCTCTAAGGCTGGTGGTATTCTGCATTACTGTATAATGTATTGCTGGGATTTATAGTCCTCTACAGCTGGTGGTATTAATCTGCATTGCTGTATAATGTATTGCTGGGATTTGTAGTCCTTTATACCTGATGGTATTATTCTGCATTGCTGTATAATGTATTGCTGGGATTTGTAGTCCTCTGTAGCTGATGGTATTCTGCATTGCTGTATAATGTATTGCTGGGATTTGCACTCATCTATACATAGTGGTATTTTGCATTGTTGTATAATGTATTGCTGGGATTTGTAGTCCTCTTATGCGCATGGTATTATTCTGCATTGCTGTATAATGTTTTGCTGAGATTTGTAGTCCTCTATAGCTGATGGTATTATTCTGCATTGCTGTATAATGTATTGCTGGGATTTGTAGTCATCTCTAGATGGTGTTATTTGGCATTGCTGTATAAGGTATAGCTAGGACTTGCTCAGGCTTCTGCTGCTTCAGCTCGAGCTGCAGGCATTCCAGGGGGTAAATGTCCCCGTAGCTAGGGCGGGGTGCTAGGAGGCTGGTTTGCCACTCCTCGTATGGCCAATGATGAGTTTGAATAATCAGTAAGTAACACCATTGTAGAAGATGGGTAATATTAATAAATTGTAATATTCATATTTTTGTCCTTTGTAAGTAGACAAATTAGGTAGCTGCGAGGCCTAAGGCAGCTGCCTGTGCTCCTTGCAGCCCACATTCTATTACCCATACTCCTGTTTTACATTCTGTGAGCATCCACCTGAGCATTCTCTGCTAAACATAAAGCTTTCAGTTTGAAGCGGAAATTACGTATGGCAGCAGAGTTCCCAGCCAACAGAGTCTTGGCTCTGAAAGCCCGGCCCAATGCTGTCAGTGCGGTTGTGTTGTGGGTCGCCTATGTACAGAAAAGGTGGTAATATACCCCAGTGGTTAACGGAAACCGGGATACAACAAAGACTTAAAATGCTCAATGCAAACAAAGCAGTGGGTCCTGATAACCTGCACCCCAAGGTACTTAAGGAATTAAGCCAGGTTATAACTAGACCATTAATCCTCATTTTTAAGGACTCCTTAATGACTGGTAGGATCCCCAGTGATTGGCGGAGGGCTACGGTAGTCCCAATATTCAAAAAGGGGGCAAGGTGCCAACCTGGGAACTATAGGCCGGTCAGTCTAACATCGGTAGTTTGTAAAATGCTAGAGGGCATAATAAAGGATTATCTGGTAGAATTTGTTCAGGAAAACGGGATAGTTAATGACAATCAGCACGGGTTCAGGAAAGACCGTTCCTGCCTAACTAACTTGCTAACTTTTTATGAGGGGGTAAGTAGAGATATGGACGGAGGTAAGCCGGTGGATGTGGTATATCTGGATTTCTCAAAGGCTTTTGATACGGTACCACACAAACGCTTGCTACACAAGCTGAGGGCTATGGGCATAGATGAGGTGGTGTGTACGTGGATAGAGAACTGGCTACGGGAACGTGTCCAGAGGGTATCTGTAAATGGCACCTTTTCAGACTGGGCTAGTGTAATGAGCGGTGTGCCTCAGGGTTCTGTGCTGGGTCCCATATTGTTCAACTTATTTATTAATGACATCGGGGAGGGTGTTAACAGCGATATTTCCGTGTTTGCGGATGACACCAAAATTGGGAGGGTAATAGACACGGACTTAGACATTATAACATTACAGGAGGACCTGGATAAAATAGGGGAGTGGGCATTAATGTGGCAGATGAGGTTTAATGTCGATAAATGCAAAGTAATGCACTTTGGACTTAAAAATAAACAAATGGGTTATACAATTATGGGTATGCCGCTAGGGAAGTCAGAAATGGAGAAGGATTTGGGGGTCATTGTAGACCACAAACTGAAAGGTAGCTTTCAGTGCCATGCTGCTGTAAACAAAGCTAGCAGGGTCTTGTCCCGTATTAAGAAGGGGATGTATCGCAGGGACAAGTCTATAATTTTGCCACTTTATAGATCATTGGTTCGACCTCATCTGGAGTACGCGGTCCCTCTGGAGTACGGTGGATGCCCCTCCCTCTATAATCTGTGCCCCTCCCTCTATACTCTGTGTTCCCTCCCTCTATACTCCTTCCCCCTCTGTACTCTGCGCCCCCCTCTATACTCTGCGCCTCCTATACTCTGCGTCGCCCCTCTATACTCTGCGTCGCCCCTCTATACTCTGCGTCGCCCCTCTATACTCTGCGTCGCCCCTCTATACTCTGCGTCGCCCCTCTATACTCTGCGTCGCCCCTCTATACTCTGCGTCGCCCCTCTATACTCTGCGTCGCCCCTCTATACTCTGCGTCGCCCCTCTATACTCTGCGTCGCCCCTCTATACTCTGCGTCGCCCCTCTATACTCTGCGTCGCCCCTCTATACTCTGCGTCGCCCCTCTATACTCTGCGTCGCCCCTCTATACTCTGCGTCGCCCCTCTATACTCTGCGTCGCCCCTCTATACTCTGCGTCGCCCCTCTATACTCTGCGTCGCCCCTCTATACTCTGCGTCGCCCCTCTATACTCTGCGTCGCCCCTCTATACTCTGCGTCGCCCCTCTATACTCTGCGTCGCCCCTCTATACTCTGCGTCGCCCCTCTATACTCTGCGTCGCCCCTCTATACTCTGCGTCGCCCCTCTATACTCTGCGTCGCCCCTCTATACTCTGCGCCCCCCCTGTACTCTGCGTCCCACCCCTGTGTCACCCCTGCACCTTGCGTCCCACCCCTGTGACGTGCATCTCACCCCTGTGCCGTGCATCTCACCCCTGCGCCGTGCTTACCACCCCTGTGCTCCGCGTCATACCCCTGCGCTCTGCGTCATACCCCTGCGCTCTGCGTCATACCCCTGAACTCTGCGTCATGCCCCTGAACTCTGCGTCATGCACCTGCAGTCTGTGTCCCACCCCTGCAGTCTGCGACCAAACTTTACCTTTATTCTGCATTGTTGCACAGTGTGTTGCTGGGATTTGCAGTCCTCTATAGCTTATGACATTATTCTTCAGTGGCAAAACTACTAGGGTCTAAGCGGTTACAGATGTGACTGGGCCCTGGCACTCCACCATTGTCCTAAAATCATTAGTCTGCATTGTTTTAGAAAAACTGTCCCATGACACTTTAACAAAGTTATCGGTAATTGTATCTATGAGTACTTGAGGAAATGTATCCGTACCTGTACTCGGTCTAGAAAAAATGGCATTGGTGGATCTCTACTCCCGTCAGTGCCGGTACCGAGGTACAGACATGTAGTACTATTCATGGGAGGCAGAGTTAAATGACTACAAGTGCGGTACATAGGCAGCCGTCTTAGGGCGTGCCCGGGGGGGTGTGCAAAAATGCACCTTCCAGCTGCGGTGGAGTAGGCCTGGACCCGGCAGCGGAGGAGAAGGCAGGGCCTGGTGGCGATGGAGGAAGAGGCCAGGCCCGGCGGTGGTGGAGGAGGAGGATGCAGTGCCCGCTGGCGGCCGAGGAGGAGGCAGGGCCCAGCGGTGGAGAAGGCTGCCAGGTAAGAGGTGTGCAGGGGTGTGACTAGCCCACCTGAGACCCTGCAGAGTCCACCACAGAGAGTCTATGGTGGGCTCTGTAGGGTCACTATCAGGTGGGCTGTGTGGGATCTCAGGTGGGCTCTGCAAGATACAAAATTTTGCTATGGGGCCATGTGATTTCTAGGTGCGCCCCTGCTCGCCTCTACAGCTTTTTTGTGAAGTAGTTGCGGATCCGGAGACTGGGGACGCTGCCCCCCCTACAGTACTGTATACTGTATACTAGAAGAAAGGTAGTGTGCTTGCCTAGAAGGTAGCCTCTTATCACTTTTAACTACTGGATCTTAAAGGAGAACTATGAGGTGAGTGCTTTGCACTCATCCTCATAGTTCTAGCCGACCTGTGACAATGAAACTGTCACAGGTCGGCTCAGTAGATCGGGAAGTGAGCGAACACATATCGTGTGCGTTTCTTACCACAGACCTCTGCACTCTGTGCGTTACTTACTTCTGACTGAAGCACTCTGTGGCTTACCTCCTTCTGACCTCTGCACTCTGTACTTTACTTCCTTCTGACCTCTGCACTCTGT